AAGACGATAGAAAAAATTTGGAAACTTAAATTCAATTTTAAATTTCAAATATCAAATGACGGGTATGATACATGAATATGAAATTTAAATAGCAAAAGTAAGTTTTAAATTACGTATTGCAAATATCGGAACAAAAAATGGATATAGAAAGAGAACGGGTAATTTATTTAGTTAATTACAAGCTATGTTATGTAGTTTTTTAAATAAAACATGTAAATGATTTCATATATATATAAACAATTTACGATCATATCTTAAAGGGAAATAACGGGTACAAAAGGAAACGGGTAATTCAAAAAAAAATAATCTAAATTATTTCTCATCAAAAATAAGACGATATAAAAAATTTGGAAACTTAAATTCAATTTCAACTATCAAATATAAAATGACGGTTATGATACAAGAATATAAAATTTAAATAGCAAATGTAAGTTTTAAATTACTTAAAATTTCAAATATCGGGACAAGAAATAACAGATAGAAAAAGAAAACGGACGGGTAATTTAATTAATTAATTACAGACTATATAATTTTATTTTTAAAACAGAAAACATGTAAATGAAGTCATATATATATATAAAAATATGACCTTATCTTAAAGGGAAAGAACGGGTACAAAAAGAGAACGGGTACAAAAAGGAAAGGGGTAATAAAAAAAAATATTTAAATTATTTCTCATCAAAAACAAGACGATATAAAAAATTTGGAAACTTCATTTCAATTTCAACTTTCAAATATCTAATGACGGATATGATACATGAATATGAAATTTAAATACCAAAAATAAATTTTAAATTACTTAAATATTTCAAATATCGTGACAAAAAATAACATATATGAAAAGAGAACGAACGGGTAATTTAATTACTTAATTGTAGACTACATAATGTTAATTTTTAAAACAGAAAACATGTAAATGATGTCATTTATATATAAAAACATATGACCTTATCTTAAAGAGAAAGAACGGGTACAAAATGGGAATGGGTACAGAAAGGAACGGGTAATTAAAAAAAAAGTATCTAAACTATTTCTCATCAAAAACAAGACGAAATAAAAAATTTGGAAACTTCATTTCAATTTCAACTTTCAAATATCTAATGACAGGTATGATAAAGGAATATGAAATTTAAATACCAAAAGTAAGTTTCAAATTACTTAAATATTTCAAATATCGGGACAAAAATAACGGATACGGAAAGAGAACGGGTAATTTAGAAAATAAATGTTATTATCATAACTATGTCTAATAATATACAAAAGAGAATTATGGGTAACATGGAGGAAGACATATTATTTATTCATGTGGGTGGGCCAAAATATTTCAATTTGTTGCACGACATGCATAGTAAACGGGTTTGACTCTCTTGACATCTAAATTTGTTTTATTAAATTTTTTTAATGTTTTCTATTGTTTTTATGTGATGTGATAGTTCACGAATTTATTGATTTCTAATTTATCATTAATCCGATTCACACTCGATCCGAATCTCTTATCGTGTCGATCCGAATATTGCAAACTTTATGATAGAACTTAGGTTTTGCAATCAACTAGGATTTAACCCGTGGTACACCACGGGTCCATAGTTTAATATATTTCTTTGGTTGATCATTTTCGTATTTGGTTTATATAGTTTAGTTTTATACATGTTTATTTCATTTAATTTAATATAATTTCATGAATTTGTATTATAAGTAGATTCATAGATATATGTGCTAAACCGACAGTACATCACGAGACGATTTTGTTGTAAATAAAAAAATATATTTTAACTTAACCCGTAAAATATTTTAAATATAGACAACCCGCAGAAAAATATATCATATTTATGTAAATTCAAACCCGTTCAATCATATTTATATACAATATTATTATATTTTAAATATTTGTAGAGCTAAAATATTAATAATACTATTAATTTTTGTAGAATTAAATATTTTCATTATTTTAATATTCTATAAAACTTAAATAAAATATCATAATTTTCAGCTTTTAAAAGTTTTAATATTTATCATATTTTAAACTTGTTAAAAAATTAAAATTTATAATATTCTGAAACTTTTTAAAAATTTTATTTTTCTTAAATAAAGAACCGTATTAAACTAATAAATTTTTTAATTTGGATACTTGAGAAATCAAAGTTCATGCTCATTTGTAGTTGTAAACATATTAGTCTTATTTATAAAGGTTTTGAACTATTATCTAAAATTTCCTATCTTATGTAGACGTTGTACATATATTTTTCCTTTATTGATTGAGTTAAATACGTCCGTTTTCAAAATTTTAAATTGCAAAATGTGTGGAAAAAAATTTGTGTTTTTATTATAAATATATTTTATGTAATAATATAAATTTAAAACAAATAAGAGTATATAAATATATTGAACAGATATTCAGTTTATTAGAGAGAGATTTTAGGAAATTTTTTGATGTAATAAATATTTGTTTCCAATTTTGCGATTTGCTTATGATTTAATTACAAAATTTACTTTTAAGTTTTGTTATTTATTCAAATGGCAAGGGTTTGATTTTGTAAATATTAAAAAATTAAAGGTTATAAGCCAAAATAGATTTTAGTACAAAATGTACTTCAAAAATGTTAAGATAGATCCCGCACGTACGTGCGGGTCCATCCCTAGTTATTTATTTAAGAAATAAATCTTGTTTCCTCCACTTAGATTCATGAGTATGGGATTTGGCTCCCATAATGGATATCAATTGCAATATCATTTATAGACAGTTTAAAAAATGAAAACCTAATTGATGAATGAGTTTGAGGCTTGGTAAATTAGTCATAAAAACTATCAAACCAACAATTGGGCTAAGTTAATGGTAAACTTTATTAACAAGTTTTAACATGATCAAAAAAAATATATATATATATACACGATATCCACAAATATTTGCACAAATAAAAACCTTATGTGGATATAATATTTTGTTCACCATTTTCAATACCAAAAATTAGTTGTCTTTCTCCACATTGTGGATACCGAAATTGGCACTTCGGGCCGGCAGGCCCATTTTGTTCGAACCCACGACAAAAAGCCCACTTCCGAACTTCTTGAGCCCACCAAGGAGAGATCAGACGCGATTTCGAGAAGTAAAGGAGCGGATCGTAACTGACAATTCCGTGGTCAAATCCCGCCTTAATGAGGATCGCGAAGTTAACGGAGCAGAGCTCGCGATCCATTTAATGACTACGATTGATTTGTATAAATAGCTGATAGGGTCAATTGTACAAAGGGCTGATCTTTCGAGGCAATAAAGCTATATACTTTAATTTACCATCTACTTAAAAACACTGTTCACAGATACTATGGCTTCGGACAGGGAATAGGATCCCATTCAAAGTCACTTCAGTTCTCTTCACGTGGATTCCCACACAAATCATAATATAGTTTCTTACGTAAAATGAAATTCAATACTTTTAATGACTAAATAGCTTCCTATAAACTCAGAGCTGCAACAAGAGAACTTAAAAGCCTAAGTCATAAGTCCAAAACTCTAAACCCAAAACCTCAAATCCTAACCTTAAACACTAAATTCTAAACTATAAACCATTCAAGAAATCTTGAACACATGAAACCATTTTTTTAATTTCTTACATCAAAAATTACATTCATGTTGCCATGGGAAGAAGCATAAGCCATTTTAGAGGAAGAAAATAATTATACAGAGCCCACGGCTCAATGGTTCGTGGAAAATTTTGGATTCCTTTAGGGTCCTAGGATGGTGGTGTTTTAGAGGAGATGCTCAATTTTAATAGGTGGCAAATGCCTCTGAAGAAGCCCTTCTCCTTTACATGCAGAAATGGAAGCTCTACTTTCGAGTGTGAAGACTATCCTTACAAGAAGGAAATATTGCCAGGTAATCGAAACAGATTGTGCAGATCCCGGTTTGCGGAGAGATTTAATGTAACACCCGTGTTCGAAAACGGGTGGTGTCGATCGACACCAACATTTTTTTGGTTAATCCGGTTTTATTTTAATTGTGAAATTGATTGGGATCGGGTTGGCTAACCCTAGATCATGTTTTAAATGGAAGAGAAGTCGAGTTTTGTTCTTTTCATCCGCTTTTTAACATTTCAGAGAAAGTGAAGTGTTTTCAAAGTTTCTAAAGTTTTATGAGGGTTTTGTGAGGCTTTTTGGTGGTGTTTGGTGGCTGTTCTTGGTGGTTCTAGGCTAGAGGAAATGAAATCTGTGCTGTGAGGTGTTATGAGAGTAAGATCTTTGCTTTTTCAAATTTCTTTTGTGTAAATTTTTTTACTCCTACTTGGATTACAAATAAGAGAGTATCATTTTAATATAAGTTTGGTTGACAAAAAAAATTGAATCCATGTTAAAATAAAAAATGATGTATCCATAGTAATTAGTCCATAGAAACTTGACCAACACCTATTTGTGAAGCTTGACCATAGAGACTCGATTCTAATAAAGAAGAAGTTCCAAGGAAAAGAAGACGAAAGAAATCTTCACAACAGATCTTCAAATAATGATACGAATCAGAAGATACTCAAGTCGGACTTTTAGGAGAGCCAAGTAGTGGTGATAGTAGTAGCTAGTAGAGACATGAAGTGAAATATCAAGTAACTAATTGGAGAGTTTCTTAAACTCTCATCAAAATAAGCCTCACGGTACTCATATAATCCTCACATTTTTCTCCATACAAACAATCCACAATTCCTTAAGATATAACTTTTGGAGAGTTTATTAAACTCTCATCAAAATAAGCCTCACGGTACTCACATAATCCTCACATTTTTCTCCATACAACCAATCCACAATTCCTTAAGATATAACTTTTAGAGAGTTTATTAAACTCTCATCAAAATAAGCCTCACGGTACTCACATAATCCTCACATTTTTCTCCATACAACCAATCCACAATTCCTTAAGATATAACTTTTAGAGAGTTTATTAAACTCTCATCAAAATAAGCCTCACGGTACTCACATAATTCTCACATTTTTCTTCATACAACCAATCCACAATTCTTTAAGATATAACTTTTACTAAATTTTGTAAGAAAAAAATTCAAAACTGTAAAAGTTATGGAGTAAAAGGGTTAAAAGAAAGTCAACATAAGTGGATGAAAAAAAAAAAAAAAAAGGCTTTTGTAATGTTCATCACTGTTGCGTCGAGAGTCTCTCAAATCTCACTCATCTTCTCCGATCTCCATTGTTTCAATCGACTCAAGCTTCTTCCTTTTTCCTTTTTTGTTCAATCGAGTTTTGTCACTTGGTCTAATGGCTTGTCAAATTCAAGCTTCACGCGTCTCCCCAATTCCGGAAATTGAAAAAGGTCTCTCCTTTATGATAAACGTCTTCCATAGACGAAGAAGAGCTTCGTCCATTAGTCTCTCTTCATTCCCTTATCCCTTAAAAAGGTAGCGTTTTGCGTTTGCGTTTGCGTTTGTGCATTATCATCATCATTGGTTCAACATTGCTCTGCTATTGAATTTTGGCGTAATCATTGGTCTGATTACTGAAAAGTTTCTTCCTTTTGTTCAATAGTTTGCAGATGACAAGACCAAACCGGAAAATAGCGTTTGCGTTGGACACAGGTTCTTCTGTTCCTGGGGATGATAATGGTATAGGAGGACAAGACAGAAGCGGTCTTGGTACCACTCGATTAGGTCGAATTGCGATTGCAGGAGGGAAACTGTTACTTGGGAAGATAAACTCTGCAAGAAAAAACTTCCCAATGAAGATCTTTTTGCTGCTTCTTGGTTTCTACACTGCCAATGCATTGGCAACGATTCTTGGACAGACTGGTGATTGGGATGTGCTTGTTGCGGGAATTGTCGTGGCTGCGATCGAAGGAATCGGTATGCTTATGTATAAGAGACCTTCTTCTTCAATGTTCTCAGGGAAGTTGCAGTCTTTTGTTGTGTTTATGAATTTCTGGAAAGCTGGTGTTTGCTTAGGTCTCTTTGTTGATGCTTTCAAGTTGGGGAGTTGAATAAAGGATCTGTTTCTTCTACTAGATTGAGTTATGTTTGTGTATATATATACACTTGTTACTACTGTTTTAGAGATTCACAAGTCTCAGTTTTGTTTGAACCCAATTCTCATTTATGCATTATAGTTCAATCTCACAACTTACAATGCTTTCCTGATCTATGCTTCTAAGATAAAGTAAGCTTTGTTCCAGAAGAACTGAAGTATCTTGTCAACTATTTGCAAATCTTAATGGAAGCCAGAGGTATATTTGCAGAATCCAGACAATGTACTCATATGTTGTATGTCAACCATGTCTCGCCAATCCTTTGATTGCGTCCCCTAGTATCTGATTGGTCCATTGAGGCTGCCTGTAGCAAACTGAAAGATACAAAACAAAAATGAATGACTCAAGCTGCAATCCAAGTACGTCCACGATGATATTAGATGTGAACATGTGAAAAGAAGGAACCTGTTGAACTATTGGATTAGTTGAGGTTGTAAATTCATGTGTCATTCCTTGCCAAACTATCTTTCCTTCATACAGAAACAATAACCTGAATAGAAGAAGAAACACAACTTTCTTAAGAGATGAAGCAAAAGCTGCAAAAACCATATCTTGTAATATGAAATGAAATCAGAACCTGTCTACAGCTCTTTGAATGGTGCTATGTTGATGAGTTACAACCAGATAAGACGCAATTTTTCCAGGTTTTCCAACTGCATCCTCATCCGTCATGTGGACAGACCGTATAAGATCTTCAACTACAGTTGATGCAATTGGATCGAGTCCAGCAGTTGGCTCGTCGTACAAGAGCACCTAAGAAAAGGCAGTGTATGATAAAACTAACTTCAAAACCCAAAAATTAATTCTTAACTTTCTCCCATGTAAATTAAACTTTCATCATGAACTATGAGATGCAGGAGTCAAGCCTCTAAAGAAGAAACACCATACATGAACTTGAGTAGATCTTTGGATTACCTCCGGCTCTATAACCTTTTTCGTTGTATCAAAAATTAGTGAACGAGCTAAAGCAACCCTTTTCTTCATTCCACCAGATAGCTCAGAAGGTAATCTATTCTCAACCCCCTGGTCTTATTAGAAACAAAAACAATAATAAGCTGGATGTGTACTATTCACAAGGTACTTAACTATCCTATGTTATGAAAGTTGTACTGAATTAAGATACCTTCAACCCAACAGCTGCTAAGGTTTGTGTCACAAGCTCAGATATTTGTTTCTCCGGCATTTTTGATCTTTCATAACTGTGATCAGTTACCATAGACAAGTTTAATCAAAATATGTCTGGAAAAAAAGAGCACCAGCAATATTCTGTCTAAAAATGAGGTTATGTAGGCAAGTAAAGCATCTTACAGTAGAAAACCAACATTCTCACGAACTGATAGCGAATCAAAGAGAGCTGCACTCTGAAATACCTGTCAGATAGAAAATGCCATTTATATACAAACTCGTGACAAAAAATCCACACAAATGAGAATTATATCTCAGAACAACAGTTACCAGGCCAATACGAAGTCCTGATATTTCCTCATCACTTATCAAACCAGCTCGTTTTTTTCCTCGTATATAAACTTCTCCCTGCATACCAAGCATCAAACACAATCCATAATCTGAAGGTTATGATCTGCCAGATATAGTAGATCCAGTTGCAGACCTTGTCTGGAGCAAGAAGACCAGCCATGATCTTTAAAATGGTTGATTTCCCAGTCCCAGAAGGACCGATCACCCCAACAGCTTCGCCATGTCTAATCTGCATACACAAAACATTGATTAGAATGTGGTGAGTTTGTGTGACTTTCAAAATCTGAAGATCCAAAACAAGTAAGAGAAAAGATAACACTGTAGTAAACATACACTGGAGTTCTTTTCAAGAGTTCAAGATATGATAAAACAGCTTATTTAAAATCAATTACATGCTACAAATAGCCAAAGCAGTACACTCTTATCGCAAAAGGTTCTTCAATAGGATCCATAGAGCAAAAGAGTATCAAAGAAAACTACTAAGATAGTCTAGACTAACAACAAAGACGCTCAGAAGCCTAAAGCTAACACCTTGCAAGATCAGTAACACCATTCTAAGAATGTGTAGTATGCTCAATGTAGAAATGACAAAACAAAATTACCTTAAAGCTAACACCTTTCAAGATATGTTTCTCCCCAAACGATTTGTACACATCTCGACATTCAATAAGAACATCAGAATCATTCTCAGGCTCTCGTTGTTTACTCATACCTCCTCCTGACTTAGAAAGACTCTGCAGTTATCATCACATTCTCAAACATTAGACAAGACCCAAGTTCCAACCAAAAATGCAGATTCAAGGAGCTAAAAAGATCATTACATCGAATTTAGTGGCATCATTGTCCAAATTCTGAGGTGGAGCTATGCAACAGCAAGAGACTCTCCGACGAAACGAGATAAGACTCCTTCTTGGTACAGCGATGGACCGACCAGAAGAAGAACCATGGCAGTGTAAACTCGGATGAAGCAACGAAGAAGAGGATAACGAAAACATGATTGGTTCTTGTGGGTTGAGAGATCCTGAAGCAATTGAATCGAATTCGATACCAATTTAGGAGAAACCCAGAATCAAGATCGATCAAAAGGTGTGAGCTTTGCGGCGAAGTTAGTGTTTTTTTGGTTTCTTCACCGACGAAAGCGAGTGGGAGAAATCAATCACATTGCCATTTTCTTTTTCTTTTTTTCTAATTTTTTTTTTTTGTTTTTTTTGTTTTTTTTTTGTCAACAGCAATAATATAGAGGCTCATAGGACCCAGAGTTGGGGATTTTGTTTACATACAAACAAATTAGCGGCTCAGCACGTAGAGTACGTGCTAACATATACGCTTTAAGATTAGAACTACGAGGAACTTTAACTAGAGAAAAAGATAGAAAATGTACTTCCCTATCTGCTTTAATCTCCTCTAAGTAGTTGACAAACGCTGGCCATTCTGCTGGGGAAGACACCATCTCCACCAAATCTGAACAGTCTGTAATGAACGTCACTTCGCGTCTCCCTGCTTTGATCATACACTTCATGGCCCACACTAGTGCTTCGACTTCTGAGTGTAGTGGCGAGAGACTCCTTCTAAGGTTTGCAACGCCCATAGTGGGGACATCGTTCGTCATCGTACAATACCAACCTATCCCTGCAAAATTATCTCCCTCTTTCCATGAACCATCCACAAAACAAGCATAATTAGGATAGCTAACCGAAGGTCCCTCCATAATCTGATTCAAAGGACGTGGCATCCCATCTTCTAAATTTTCTTTGTCTTCTAAAATTAATAATTTGTGACTGAATAAAACAAAAAAAATAAAAATAAAATAGAAAGACTCACTATCACGACGTTTTTTTCTGCGGCGCCTAGGGTTTGGGGCGATTAGGGTTTAAAATTTTCTCATCTAGAGGTGTTCTTCTAGCGAGTGAGCTTGGTTTACCGGGTTGCAGTGTGTATCGCCAGTGTTAGTAAGACTGTACGTGGAAGTCGTTGTGAAGTTTTTGGTGTTTGGAGAAAGTTTTCACGAAAGAGTATGGAGTTTGCACTGGATAAGGCACTAAGGAGATGTCATTGGAGGAGGACGAACCAATTGTGCTGAAGAACTTATCAAAGTTCAGCTCGTGTGAGAGGAATGAACCGAGCATTATTGGACGGTTGTTGTGTCCGGAGAATCAGAAAATGTCGAACGCAATACATGAGATGTCGCGTATATGGCGTGTTTACAACAGAACAAGAGGTATTGATCTCCAAAAGGATCGTTTTCAATTCATTTTCGATTCGGAGAGAGAGATGAAGACTGTGTTGGAAGCTGGAGCATGGGCGTTTAACGATTAGAGTATGACCTTAGAGAGATGGGTGGAGAAGCCACCGGAGGATTATCTCAAGAGACTACCCATTTGGATCTGCTTACGTAATATTCCGGTGAACCATGATACTAAGGATACAATACATGAAATTGCTGAGCATATTGAGACTGTAACGGATGTGGCTTTTGACCCACTAAAGCCACAAAGTAAAGGTTACGTGAGGGTTAGGGTTCTTTTTGATGTGAGTCGTCCTTTAAAGAACTCGAGGTTGCTTCAAACTTCAACAGGAGAGATGGTGACTATTAATATCGAGTATGAGCGGATTAGAAGGCGGTGTTATCAGTGTCAACGTCTTACACACGACAAAGATCACTTTCCTTTTAACCCTTTGAACCGGCAAGAGATTGCTACGGGTGGGGTTAAAAAAGCTGCTATGATTCCGGCGAGACTTCTACCTCAGATTAGTGAGGATGATCCGCTTTTCGGTGTTTTAACAAATGAAGACGTGGGGATTGATTTTGCAACCGGCAAACCAAAGATTGCAAAAGAAGTCCTTGATGAGATGCGGCAATACTTATCGGTCGCTGATCCTAAGCTGAAGAAAATTCATATTGCTAGGGTGCGCAAGTCAGTTTGGGATCTTGAAGGTGATCACTTGCAAGGGCAAAAGTCGATGCTTCGTTTGGAGGCTCCTGCAAAGTTCACAACAGACGTGAATAAAGGAAAAGGTCTCGTGTTTAACTTTGAAGGTGTGGGTACAAGCCTAGAGATCGCGGATGACCGTGTTACCGCAGCTGTGGCTCAAAGGAAGGCCATGTCTCGCCTCTCACAACCAGTGGAGTCTAGGTCGGCTACTTATGCGACAGCTTCACAACAAGGCCTTGGTTTTACGGGTTTTAAAGCCAGCTATTCAGCTGGTTCTACCGGAACCAAGTCGGCTAAGATAACAAAGAGGAGACGACCAAACCAATGGAAAAGAAAAGCACAAGCTTTGCAAGCGGATTTAGGGGGAAAACAGAGAGGTCCAAATGAAGGAGAGGATACGAGTGTGTCATCGAAAAGAAAGGCGGTTCATGAACCTATTTGGACGGCTAAAGTGGCAAAACATAACTTTAATGAGGTGGTTCCGAATGAGGAACCGCCGAAGCAAGTATGAGTTTCATGAGCTGGAATTGTCAAGGGTTGGGGGAACAGCTTGACAATTCCAATTTTGAAGGAAATGAGGCATCAGCATTTCCCGGATTTTTTGTTCCTCCTGGAGACAAAAAACTCCAGTAGTTTTGTGTTTAATTTGCAACGCTCTCTTGGCTATGATCATGCTTACATTTTGGATCCAGTGGGGCTAAGTGGAGGGTTAGCATTGTTTTGGAAGGCATCTTATGAAGTTGAAGTTTTATTTGCTAATACAAGAATAATTGATGTAAAAGTTAAGCTTGGATCTCTTATGTTCTTTATATCATGTGTTTATGGAGATCCGGTTTCACATTTACGACAAGCTGTTTGGAATCTATTAATTGACATTGGTGTCTCCAGATATGAGCCATGGTTCGTTATTGGTGATTTAAATGAACTCACGGATAACTCCGAGAAACTTGGTGGGCCAGCACGGGCGGAATCTACTTTCTATCCTTTTCGGAATATGATAAGTGATTGCCGTCTACGGGAGGTCCCAAGTATTGGTAATAAATTTTCATGGGCTGGAGAGCGTAACAAGATTTGGATACAATGCCGCTTGGATAGGGCATTAGGAAATGAGGCTTGGTTCCAACTATTTCCTCGAGTAAAAACAGAGTATCTTGAGCGGCTAGGATCAGACCATCGGCCTTTGTTCACCCGTTTCTCTAATGAGAATATGTCTCGTCGAGGAAGACGAATCCAAGGTGTGATGAAGATTTTATGGCTATCAAAACTGATATGTCCAAAGCTTATGATAGAGTGGAATGGGACTTCCTCGAAGAATTACTAATCTGGTTGGGTTTTGATATCAAATGGGTCACATGGATTATGAGTTGTGTGCGATCGGTCTCTTACTCGGTTCTCATTAATGGCTCCTCATATGGTTTTTTCAAACCAGAACGGGGTATCCGTCAAGGTGATCCGCTATCACCCTTTCTCTTTATCTTATGTGCTGAGGCTTTGGTGCATATAATGAATAGGGCTGAGACTTCAGGGATATTAACGGGAATGCGGTTAGCTGCGGAGTGCCCTTCGGTTCAACACCTTCTTTTTGCGGATGATAGTTTGTTTCTTTGTAGAGCTACTCTATGAATGCTCGGATTTTCTTCATTGTTTACAGCTCTATGGGAGAGCTTCGGGGCAAGAGATAAATTTTCAGAAATCATCCTTAACATTTAGTAAGAAGATGGATCCGATTATGAAAAGGTTAATTAGCTTGTTGTCGGGTATCACTCAAGAGGGAGGTGGTGGAAAATATTTGGGGTTACCTGAATGTTTTAGTGGTTCGAAAGCTGAGCTCTTGAGCTATATTACCGATCGTTTGAAGACAAGACTAAGTGGGTGGTATGAGAAGACGTTATCGCTTGGTGGTATGGAACTTCCGGTATATGCAATGTCTTGCTTCCGTTTATCTAAACACCAATGCAAGAAGATAAATAGTGTTATGTCTAGTTTTTGGTGGAATGCGACTGAAGATAAGCATAAGATGCATTGGGTCTCTTGGGAGAAACTTTGTAAATCTAAACCTCGGGGTGGACTGGGATTTCGAGATATTGGTCAGTTCAATCAAGCTCTTCTTGCTAAACAAGCTTGGTGTTTAATACATTTCCCGGATTCTTTGTTTTCAAGGGTGTATAAGGCGAAGTATTTTCCGGTTAACCCATTTCTTGAAGCCAAAGTTGGTTATAGACCGTCGTACGCTTGGCGTAGTATCATCTTTGGACGTGAACTACTGGAGAAAGGCCTCATGAAGTCTATTGGTAATGGAGCTAATACTTCAGTTTGGTTAGATAAGTGGGTTCTTGATGATGTTCCAAGAAGACCGTATAACAAAGAATCAAGGATGAATTTAAACATGAAAGTGGCCGATCTGATTACTTCACAAGGAGAATGGGATACAAGTATTCTTCAAGAGCATTTTTTACCTTGTGATATTACGAAGATAAGCTCCTTTCCCCCGTCATTTGAGCTTCATGATAGAGTGGTGTGGGCTCTCACAAAAGACGGGAACTACTCGGTGAAAAGTGGATATTGGCTTATCTCTCATGCTAGTGACGGTTTGGAATTGATTACAGAGAGTAATCAACAGTTGAACACTCTCAAGGAGAAAGTGTAGAACTTAAAGACAGCCCCAAAAATCAAGTTATTCTTATGGCGTGTATTATCGGGTGCTTTGGCGGTTGGTGAATGTCTTCGAAGACATGGTTTAAGTGTTAATCCTCTTTGTCATGTGTGTAAGAGGGAGGAGGAGACTATTTCGCATGTTCTTTTTGAGTGCGATATGGCTCTGCAGGTATGGACTGTGTGTGGTCTCCCTTTACCGCCTCATGGTTTCTCATCGGTTATTTCGGAAAACATAGAGGTTGTTTTGTCTTTGTTGGTACGTCCGGAGATTGCATCACATATAAGAACCGTAATACCATGGCTTCTATGGGGAATTTGGAAAGCTCGAAATGGTCTAGTGTTCTCTCAACAAGCTTTCAATCCACACATCATTTTCGCCACAGCTGTTAAGGATATGGAGGAATGGTGTGCACAACAAGAAAATCGTGATTTGGAATCTAGAGCGGAAATGAGAGTTCTTGGAGCTACGGGTAGGTCTTGGTTACCTCCGGCTGTGGGTACTTTCAAGTGTAACATCCATTCTTCTTGGATTAATGACTCTTCTTTTTGTGGTGGAGCCTAGGTGTTACGCAACCATTTAGGAGATGTCTTATTTCACGGGAGAGACGCGTTTCTTCCATGCACTAATAGACTTGCAGCTGAATTGCGATGCATTTTTTGGAGTCTCTCAAGTCTACATGATATGCACTTTGACATTTGTGAGGTCTGGTTGGATTGTAATGCCGCTTGGGAAGCTATTTCTAATCCATCTCAATGGCCTAAGTACCGTGCCCACCTATCTAAAATTAATCAAGCAATACGGATGATGCGAAAGGTTTCTTTACACCTATCTTCATCGAAAGCTAACTTGTTGGCTAGGGATATTGCTTGTAGTGTTACACGTGATGGTCGGCTCACTTCTTACATGGCTCTCGGAGGTCCATCTTGGTTACAAGATCGTATCGCAAGGGATAAAAGGCATGGTGGCTAATTTTGTTTTGCTTCTTTGTTTTATGATTTCGAATTTTGTACCCCATCTTTCTTATTTGATATTGAATCATCCAGAGTTAAAAAAAAAAGAATAAAAAAAAGAAAATTTAGTGAAAAACTATACAAAATATTTGTGAATTACTAAAAAATTGGTATACGACATCGTCTAGATCTTTTTCTAGAACTAGTCAATCTCGGCAACACAAAATTGGAGCATGCGAAACGATGTCGTGTAAATACTAATCCATTCGACGTCGTTTAGCATGTTTCCATTTTAAAGTAACCTAGGTTAAAACATTGGTTCTATAAAAGGATCCAGTTCCCAGGCTTTTATGTGTTTATCATATCCGCCGCTCTATATTTTTTTTTTCTTACAAACATAGCAAAAACAAATCCTTAAGAAGTTTGAGATGAACGCATCAACGAAGAAACTACGAATCCGATTTAGTTCTTTCAAATCCTTAAAAAGTTTGGGATGAACGCATCAACGAAGAAACCACGAATCCGATTCGATTCTTTTGCAGAAGGTATGTGCTGATAAGACATAGTGTAAGATCTTTTACATTTAAACAATTTAATTGATTTTTTAATTATTTTCATAGCTTTTTGGTTTTTTTTTTAATTATTGTATACTCTTTGATTATCTTATGATTAGGTTGATAGCTTGATGTTTATGTTTTGACTCATGAATATTCAATGAAAAGATAAAATAATGTATCTAAGTTATATATAAAGCATCTTCCAAAAAAAAAACTCATTAGACAGATAATTTGATTTCATCTTTAGTAGTGGAAAACTTTTGTTTGAGATCTAAGACAATCTGATCCAAATGAGAATATATGAAACTTCCAGATCTGGATCCAAATGTTTTGATTTTTGAGAGGCAGGATATTCAGATCCGACTTGTATCTACTTCTAATTTAATTTTCTTAATATATATAT